AACATTTAGACACAAACTTGACACACAGTGACACATTGTTCAGACACAAACTTGACACAGTGAAATGTTGTTTAGACACAAACTTGACACAGTGAAATGTTGTTTAGACACAAACGTGACACATAGTGAAACATTGTTTAGACACAAACTTGACACAGTGAAACATTGTTTAGACACAAACTTGACACAGTGAAACATTTAGACACAAACTTGACACACAGTGAAATGTTGTTTAGACACAAACTTGACACAGTGAAACATTGTTTAGACACAAACTTGACACAGTGAAACATTGTTTAGACACAAACTTGACACACAGTGAAACATTTAGACACAAACTTGACACACAGTGAAACATTGTTTAGACACAAACTTGACACAGTGAAACATTGTTTAGACACAAACTTGACACAGTGAAACATTGTTTAGACACAAACTTGATACAGTGAAACATTTAGACACAAACTTGACACACAGTGACACATTGTTCAGACACAAACTTGACACAGTGAAATGTTGTTTAGACACAAACTTGACACAGTGAAACATTGTTTAGACACACATTTGACACAGTGAAACATTGTTTAGACACAAACTTGACACAGTGAAACGTTGTTTAGACACAAACTTGACACAGTGAAACATTGTTTAGACACAAACTTGACACAGTGAAACATTGTTTAGACACAAACTTGACACAGTGAAATGTTGTTTAGACACAAACTTGACACAGTGAAACATTGTTTAGACACAAACTTGACACAGTGAAACATTGTTTAGACACAAACTTGACACAGTGAAATGTTGTTTAGACACAAACTTGACACAGTGAAACATTTAGACACAAACTTGACACAGTGAAACATTTAGACACAAACTTGACACACAGTGACACATTGTTCAGACACAAACTTGACACAGTGAAATGTTGTTTAGACACAAACTTGACACAGTGAAATGTTGTTTAGACACAAACGTGACACATAGTGAAACATTGTTTAGACACAAACTTGACACAGTGAAACATTGTTTAGACACAAACTTGACACAGTGAAACATTTAGACACAAACTTGACACACAGTGAAATGTTGTTTAGACACAAACGTGACACATAGTGAAACATTGTTTAGACACAAACTTGACACAGTGAAACATTGTTTAGACACAAACTTGACACAGTGAAACATTGTTTAGACACAAACTTGACACAGTGAAACATTGTTTAGACACAAACGTGACACACAGTGAAACATTGTTTAGACACAAACTTGACACAGTGAAACATTGTTTAGACACAAACTTGACACAGTGAAACATTGTTTAGACACAAACTTGACACAGTGAAACATTGTTTAGACACAAACGTGACACACAGTGAAACATTGTTTAGACACAAACTTGACACAGTGAAATGTTGTTTAGACACAAACGTGACACACATTGAAACATTGTTTAAACACAAATTTGACACTGTGAAACATTGTTTAGACACAAACTTGACACAGTGAAACATTGTTTAGACACAATGAATGAATTCCAAAAAGCTGATGTCAAATAAAGCAGCAACAAATCTATAATCAGATACTATACATACAGTATTTGTTTTCAAAAGTGTTCTTCACAAAGAAACTCACGGTTATCCATTGTAGAAATCAGTCTAATTACAAAAAATATTATTATTGTGCGTCCTCAACTGAATCATCAGTGGAAGAAAATATTATGGTTATAAACAAGGATAAGTAATAACAATTAAAACAACTATTTATCCAATGAACTATTGCTTTGTGAGCTAAAATGAAGAAAAGACAACACCACAACCACTGATCTTAACAACCTGTTTGAACTTATTGAGCCATAAAAGCCAAAAGGTACCTCACAAAATATTAAATAAATGACTTGCTTTTTTTTAGAGTCAACTACCAAATGAATATTTTGACAATTAATGCTAAAAGTATGTAATTGCTTCAGCAATTGAATCATCACACCATATTACTATTAATACCAGGTTACATGAACACTTTTAATGATGGTACTTTTATGTATGTACAAATAAAACATAAAATACAAACTAAAACTGATGTTGTTTATGGGGATGTTTAAAATGTGAAATAATATTTAATGATGAGCAATCATGCACTTATTCGGTATGGAGACATAGTATGATAGTACAGGTTGCCAGCGTTTCTTACAGACTTTATTTCCCGGGGGGGGGGGGGGGGCACAAACATTCCCGGGGGCGGACGCTGTTAAAAGTATATATTTTCTATATAAACATAAATTCCATTTTGTTTAGGGGGGGGGGGGGTGAAGAGATGCCTGGAAAAAACTCTGCAAGGTGCTTTCAAAATGTTGCAAAACAAAAAACTGGTTTACAATATCATTGGCCTAATAATTTTTTTTTCAAACCAGCCAAGACATTGATAATTTCTATGAAGTGCTTATTATCAGTTTCAAGATAACACTTTCATGACATTTACATCACTGCGCAAAATAATCTTTTTAAAAAAGGCAGCTAATGCTTTTCTAAAATAAACAAAATATTTCAAGTTCTCTGTATTAAATCGAGTAGCGTTTTGAAACAGTAATGCTAGTAATTGAATTTTAAGTTATTTGATGTTTAGGAAGGCTTTTTTTTGATAATTTAAGTGTAAAGGAAATGTATTACTATGGGCTGAGGTGTAGCATCATTTTGGGGGGGGTGGGGAGGTCTGGCTTTTTGTGAAAATGTGTGATGGAGGGAAGGGGCGGGAGGTAAAATTATCCAAAAAAGTGTGACATCATTTAAGGAGTACCCCATATATTTTTTTTAAAAAGTGTTTCTTAAATTGTGTTTTAAATAAGTAGGCTTATTAGCCAATAAAATAATAAGCATTTGTTTGTTTAAAAAATATGAATTGCTAGTAATAGTGCTAGATTTCTACTTGTTTATAAAAAAGTTTAAAAATAGGTCATTGACCTGATTAATACAGATTAATAAAATAACAAATATTAGCAACACAGTATAGGTAATAGATGTACTATAATAAATAGCTTAATTAAAGCATTGAAATTTTCAATAAATATAATATTCTCAGCTGGCAAAGCTGACATTTTAGGCCTAAAATTTGTCTAAATTGGTAAATATTAATGATATTATTTATTAATAATGTATAATTATTGTATAGCTATAAATACATAGTATAATTAGACTAGGCGCTATATAATATATATATATATATATATATATATATATATATATATATATATATATATATAATATATATATATATATATAATATATATATATATATATATATATATATATATATATATATATATATATATATATATATATATATATATATATATATATATATATATAATTCATATTAATATTAGGCGTAAGTCTAATAGTAATAAAAGTAACTATTAACTATTATTGATTCAGTTATTATTTATATTTATCACAAGTAAGAATGCTTAAATTATTAAAATTAAGTTTAGAACTTTAGAGGACCTACCTTTTGAAAGTATCTTGATATATATTATGATACCTCATTAATACTCATTATTAAATAATAATAGGTTCATATATATTATATAGATCTAAAGATCTATATAAGTATACAAGGCTATATAATATATAAGCCAGTATAAGGCGCCATGGGCTCATGTCTCATATCAATATCCAGCCATAGGTATATTTAATACTATTTATTATTTTCAATAAAATACAGGCTACAGACCTATATTAATACTACTCATGCCCACAAACAATTTCTGCTGGTAATTACGATGCTATAAATGCCAAATAAAAAATTGAGGTTTTTTTTTAATAAGATTTGGATAATCTAATATGCTTTATTTTACTTATTTATTTATTTTCTGTTTTTAGTAAAAATACGAAATTTTTCTTAGTTAACTTAATTGCGATGGCTACGGCTTAAACATTGCCATGACAACCAGTCACTAGGCGCATGTTTTTTAAGTTAAAAGATCTAGAGTCTAGATGTTTTATTACGATGTTTTGTTACAAATCTCTCGATACAAATTTATACAAACTCTTAATTAATAAATTATATCTAAATAATTAGGCTTAAATTAGACTGATAGGCCATAATGAAAAATATTAGGCCTATTAGTATTAATTAACATTAATTAGGCCTGTAATTGTCAAATGACAATAGTTTCAAAATAGGGCCTAATTTAAAATTAATTTAAAATTAATTTTAATTTAATTAGAAAACTAGGCCTAGAAAATATTTCCACTACTACTGTACTAGTGAATGAACGAAAATTAAACGATTTGCTTAGGAATACGTCTAAATCTAGTTAGATTCTACTAGAGTAGAATCTAGTACGCCTTAGTACGGTCTTTCAGTTCAATCGACTACTCAGAATTAGTTAGAGTCTTTCTATCTAAATTCTAAATCTAGAGAACTAGAATCTAGTCAAGTCTAGATCTAGATCTAGAATCTAGATTCTATGTATTATGTAGAATTCTTTAAAAATAGATTTCTAGATCTAGAATCTAGTCTGATCTAGATCTAGATCTTAGAGTAATAGTAAGCCGAACCTAGAGTTAGAGACTGAGAGGAACTATTTTTTTCTAGATCTCTAGATCTAGATTCTAGATCTAGATTTAGACTCTAATCTAGTATTTTTTGTGTAATGTATTTATATTCTAGACCTAGTCTACATGCCTAAATACTAAATATTATAACAAATATACAAAATAAAAGTTGAAGGTTCCAGAATTTATTTTAGCTAAAAAAAATCTTTTAAAAAAAAACACGGGCTCTTTCTAATTTTTTCCTTAAACTGAAAAGTTGAAAACGGTGATAAAAACAGTTTACTGAACTCTGTACCACTCAAACTGTGTGCTAACTGTACTGACAGTGAACGTTACATACAATACATACATTAGTTAATTTAGTTTAGTTAGTTTAGCAGTTTAGTAATAGTGTGCCGCATTTTATCTTTTTATTATTTATTTTTTAATTCACATTTACAAACTCACCCGGAGTAAAACTTGTATATTTATTTCACATTTTTATCCTTCAAAATCAACGAAGTTTATGCTCCATTAAAGAATTAGCGTAAATCACAAAAATAATCAACGACCCACTTATGACTTATAGCACTTTTCTCATTGCAACCTAGAATATAGACCCGAGTCACGAATAAGAACAATAATCACAGTCATCGATAGGTGGCGCTAGTGATTCGTTCAGTTTATTTTAAGCTATTAAAATTAGGTTGGGGCCTGTGCAAACTCATACTAAAACTAATTTTGTATAAAAAAAAAATTATGAAGTCTTTGATTTAGAATGAAGATCTGTTGGGAGTTTGGTAGTATTATTTACCGAACTAGAAATATTCTTAATAATACCCACTTCAGTGAACTTATCAAGAGTTTTGTCCTCATGAATATATAATAATAAAAAAAATGACACAAAATCAAATGAGAATTTTCTGTATTTTTTTTTTACAGAGGTTAAAAGTTAAAAGAAACTCAATTAATGTAGATCTAAAGTTTTTACAAATATCTAATTTGTAAACAAAACATAGTCGCCGCCTATACTAAATTAGTTTTCTACACAAACATAAAGAAAAAGAATATCTTAAAGGGACATAATCTATAAAATGACAATCCACATTGACTGTTTAAATTCACTACCTTGTTCCCAAAATGAATTCAGTGTAATCTGAGTGTAAGTAATTTTAAAATATTGACAAGGCAATTTAAAAAATTATGATTTTTTAATTTATTTTTTAAAATAATGCTTAAATTTTAGAAAATAGTATAATTTTTTTCAATTTTTTTTAATTATTCATAAGAAATACACACAAAATCGTTGTTTATTTCAAGTAAAACAATTGTAATTCACATTTTACAAACCAAACAATCTTATCTACACTTAAACGACTGTCTTTTTTTTTTAAACTGAACTTCTAGTTAAGACATGCATGAAGCTAATCACTGGAATGGATGCCTAATTCATCACAGCATTATTCTCAAACCTCTGTTTGAAACAGTAACATTTCAACATCTTACATGGTCAACAACAAACCAGGTAAAATACAGGGGTCAACGTTTTAAAAAGTAGTTTAGAAATAAGACTAATTTTTTTATTTTTTGTGGACAATTTCAATTTCTTTTAATATGATACAAACATTTCATAACATTTTGTAAATTTGAAGATTTTGTAGTTTGGCTACCTGAAAGTTGATCCGGACCAACTAATATTTTTCAGACTTATTATTAGGGCATCACAATTTTAAGTTCTATATTTAGTATTACATTTAATCAAAATCAGTATCACAATAAAATCTAAATTCATTTTGAAATCCATTCCAACTTTCATAACTGTGTAATATATAAGGTGTTTAGCTAATCCAGTTTAGGCAAATTTCTAAATAGAACCTTTGTGTTGATCAGTTCAATATCTAGTTTCATTTGACAATCAACATGCCCTTCCAGAATTCAGTTTTAAGTAGGTGCTATAAAAAAAAATGTTTTCCTTGAAGTTTTTAAAAAAAAACAGTTTTCTCTTTTACAAGTTGTTGAACAATTTTTGTACATTCTTAAACTTCAAAAAAAAAAAAAAAAGTAACAAAAATACTGCTAATAAATCTGGGTCAAAAATAAATTTAAAAAAAAGAACTTTTTATTTACATTAAATCGCCTTTAGCACTATATGTTTATACATGACACAAATCCATTCATGTATGATGAACATGCATGTCACAATCTTTTATTTATCACAGGGATCAGAAATTGTTTTTGTATAGACTTTTAAAAATTAGTTAATGATATGTTGTTTAAAAATTTTGTAACTCTGTGTACACAAAGTCGAACAAAGAAAGTGAATTGGTATTTATACAAAATACATGCTTTAAATGTGACTAGATATCAAATACATTCAAATTATGTATAAAAATTTACATTTCTTTAACAAAGATCTATTCCTTCATCGCCTAAAATATAACAGCTTATGTTGTGACGGAAGGGAACAGAAACTATTTTTTGTTAATGAAAATACACTTAAGTAGTCATTATTCAATTAAGTAGACAAATATCATATGACCGTTTTGCAAATTAAAACTAGACAAGTGTTAAAAAACAAAAACATAACTACTATATTTAGCTGGTTGTAAAAGAAAAATTGATACTTTCAGATTTCATCAATGCATGAAAAATATTAACATTTTAAAACAAAACAGAATAAAATTTTAACAAGCACTTGCAAAGTAATAAAAAATGTCTCTTAAATACATGTAAGTAAATTTCACTTTCATCAATTCATGCTAAAAGAATAAATATAATGTGACAAATATTTTAAAGCATTTAATCACTTTTACCTGTATAAAGTATTCTCTTAATTCAAGAACACAGCCTGGATAAATTTTTTTGTAAAGCAATAATGAAAGCCCTTTTAAAAATAATAGTAACGGATGTGGTTGCAGATCACAACTTCATAACTCACAACATTTTTTTTTTTTTTGCTTTTTATAGCAAAATTTAAGTTTTGGACTTGTCTACCAAAGAAACTACAGGAGCAGCAAATAAGTTAATGACAGAAATGTAAACTCACTATGTGCTCTCAAATAGTCCATGTCAGCACATAAAAAAAAATCACCAAACTGACAAGAATTCCATCAGAGAAGTTGAATGCAGTTTACACTAGAACATCTTGTCATGATATTGGTATTGAAAAAATTGTAAAAAATACACATACTGGCACACATAAAAATAAAGCTGGAGTATTTGTCTTGCAGCACAAAAAGCAAATCAAACTGCAGAATTATATCCAACATAAGGTCAGATGAAAAGCTTAGAACAAAGAATGTCTCCCAAAAGAGGAAAACTCATTGATCAGTGAAGCAGGCCCTAATGATTGGCTTGGATACTGATACACTGCTATGTTGTCAATTATGAAAGACAAGCCATCATTAGTTATGGTCAGCGCCAATAGACTGTCTACTCAGTTATTAGAGAAGAAAAAACAACTTTGTGGTTACTCTTATATCAGTATAAGACTTGTAATAGTACGTTGTAGTAAAAGAACTGTGGCAATTTTGATAATGCATTATATTTTCTAAGTTTAATCATTTATTATTTTTACTGTCATTATTAAGTAGTTTTTATAAGGTAATAGCAAATTATTTCGAATACAATTGTTACATTGGAAGTGAATAGAAATGTGTCAAGAAGGGCACTCATGTTCATTTTTCAAATAAATTGAGTTACCTACCCAGTCATCTTTAGTGGCAGAATCTGAGAGAATATGACAAGAAGGCAACCAAGACAATAAAGTAATTTTTTGAAAGAAATTGCAACTTAACATAAAGACACAAACCAACGTACCTAAATGATTAGCAACTCTAAAGCTCTTAACAATCTGGTAAATAATAATCTAACTAAATTATGAAATCAATGATTTAGTTTTGGTGAAAGAAGATGGTTAAACATGTTCATTTAAAAAAGTGTAGTTTAGCATACTTTGTCTATATAATGAATGTAATATTTAAAAAATCATTATATAAGACATGCATAATAGTGTTTCATGTTGCTTAAATTGTAAGTAACATAACTACTCAACTGTGAAGTAGGCTACATAAGTTTTCTTTTGATAGATCCAAGTCCAGCCTGTTTCTAGGCTCAAAAGTTCATTTTAACAACAGTAATTTTATGTTTATGTACATGACTTAAAGTTTAAACAGGGACAAAAAGTCAGCAGGACTTAACACTTTACAAGTGAACATCTGGTCACCAACACAAGGATGTCCAAGAGCCTGCAAAAATAAAAAGATTCATTAAAATGCTGTTAGTACTGAAATATGTGTACACTTGAACAATCTACCGTTATGATTTTCAAAGCCCCACCTTCCAGTGGATGCTACAACAATGTGTACAGATAGCCAACATATCAGCAAATGTTTCCTTTCTGCCAAAACGTCTGGAAAGAAAGTTTTCAAAATTTTATAAGCTGAGAGTATCTGGAAGTTTTGCATTAAATAGATACTGAAATTGATGGAAATCAATAGAAATAAGCAGATGTTTGTAAAATTATAAATGCTCAATATACATTAATTTTTTTAATATTAAAAATTCTTCAAAAGATCAGGTATTTATTCTTCTTTTTTCTTCTTTCTTCTTAATTTTTAGTGTTTCAGGTATTTATAATTAATAGTAAAATTCTGTTAAAAGGTAAGAGCTGTTTAATTTTCATTAAAAAAAATTAAATTATGCTAATATTAATATATAAGCTTTATATTACATTACTTTTTTTTAAAAGTAGCTGTAGTAACTATATTTTTAAAATTTTATATTACCTACAATTTGTTTTCAGTTTTTCAAACGTTATTTTAATTTTAAAATTTATATTTTTTATCATACTTATAGCATCTTTTGTAGATATTTTTCCAATCTATTTCAATAGTATCATTCTGTTTGGGGAGAAACGTGAGAATCTGGCGGTTGTTGAAATGAAACAGGCACATTTCTCGCCATAATGATCGTTCTTCTGTCACCTGTGTAGATTGGATGCAAATTAAGTGATCAAACAATTAGATAGTGTTAATTTATTTAATACAATATTGAAACTATCTTCAATGTAAAAAAAAAGGTGACAAAATGGATTTAATTTTATGTTTTAAATAACATAAAAGGATTACCACCATACAAAATTCAAGTTGGACAACTCTTAATCAGATGACTAAATCAAAATGTTTTTTAATAAACTTTGATCAAAGCTAAGTAGCTGTACTGATGACTACCTGATTGAGTGTAGAACTAGTTTGTCCTGCCCGCATCACATCTTTATGGTCTGAAATTTGTGAGAAAATGACACGAAGACAGTCAGCAGGGAGATCATCAAGCATTAGTTTCCCATCTTTGTTTCTCTGGAAGAAGACAAAAAAGAAACTGAATCCAAATCGACTAAAAACTGTACTATATTAGCCCAGTACAGAGAAGTTTTAAAATGTGGTACCTCTTTCATCTGGTACTCCGACAATTTATTTGCTAGTCTGTTGACTGTCTCCATGTGTTTGGACCACAAGCACTGACTACCAATGTGGTGATGTTTCCCATCCTGCAGGGCATCATAAGCACACTCTAGCAGATCTTTCATCATTCCAATATTCAGTTCAGTTTTAATAGCTAAATAAAACACAGAAAGTCATTTAAACATACCACTGTTATGCAGTGTAACCTGAGAGCCTAACCTAAAAATAACAACTATGACAACTAACTGTACTAATTACCTTCATTAACCATTGACTCTAGTATATTGAAAACCAGTTTTTGTGATGTTCCACTTAGTACTGGCAATCTTTTCTCCAAAATTAGAGTCATGAGCTAAAAAGTTAAAAACAATTTTAACCTTCTGGTTAAAACAATTAAAGTTAAACGAAACAAACTTGTAATCTTCATTGTATCACTGTATGCTTCAAGCAGTTACTCCATGCATGTCACAGAATTTTAAAGTAATGAAACATTAAAGTTTTTATTTTTATTTCTTTTTGAAATAGGATGTGTTTACAGTTATGAAAATTAACATGCACATGTTGGAAGGGAAATAACTCCTATTTTCAACATAATTTCAAAATATATTTTCTATTTTCCAAAACATTGTAAATCAGCAGTTAACCTTTCCTGAGGAGCTTATATTATTGCCATCTAGTATCAGATTACAATTTAAAATAAAAGAATAATTTTAAACCATTTTATAATATGATATCAGATCCTCAACATTTTATGAGTTTGTGAAAGAATTTAAAAGTTGGTTAAAAGGGATAAGGAATCAAGAAAAGTACTTTTTTTTATATTTTCTCATTTTTTTTAAAATTACCACACCAAAGTGGTGACCCAGTCTTTGAAACCTTTTAAAAAGTACACAATCATTTTGGGTAAGTAGGCCTACCCCTGCACAAAATAAACCAAAAAGAATGTGTAAAAAGTCTGGGCAATAGATAAAAAATTATTGTAAAAAAAGCTAAACGAGTTAATAATTTTTTTAATAACTTCATACTGATCATGAGACAGTATGAATTCATGAAACAATGCTACATCAAATATATATTAGAAAAAGGATGATATGCAGCAATTATCACTTTAACACAGATATTTAACCAGTTGTAGTTTGGTAAAAATCAAATGGAGTAACGCATATTGTCCATTAATCTTCACTTAGAGCTACATACATTGATAAGACCTTCATGTATCACATAACTGCAGCTTTAAACCAAAAGTGTTTAAAATGGAAATGCTTACAATTAGTTAAGCACCTCACTTGAAATTGTCACTGAGCCTAGAGCAAGACATAGACTATTTCCACCAGGTTACTTTTACATGCAACAAAATCACACCATTTTCTCAATGTTTACTAAAATGGAAAAGTGAAACAGGTTTACTATAATCCTTACAAATTGTATTAACTTTTACATGGAACTACTTTTCTTGAATTGTAATACTAATAGGTGCTAAAAACTTTGATTTAAAAAGATTTAACAACATACTTTAGCCACATAATTAGCCCTGTTAATGTCTCTTGCTGCACCAGTCATATCCAACCTTACTAGTGCTTCACTAAGTGAAGTGAGTTCCAGTTTCTGGAAAATATATTAAAAGTAAAATACAAAATTATAATGGGTACTTTTTAAAAGGATTTCAAGCTATGAAAAACTGTTGAAATTATTTTTTTTCTTAATTTAAATTAAACAAATTTACCTGAAAATCATGAATAAATGACTTGTTGAAGTCATACATATAATTCAAGTTAACCATTTTAAGTAATGTATAGGTCTAAAAATACTATCGTTTATCCATGTTGTTTACCTCTTTTGTGGAACCACTGTTAAAAAATATATATGATTGTCTTCGACTAGTTATGTCTGACTTTTCACAGGTATGATGAGAATCTTCTAAAGCCAATCGAGTTATCCTAAGGAAGAATTAAAATACATATATGGTAAAACTGGCAATAAAGTTCACTCTTATAAATAATTGTAAGAAATTTTACTCAGGTGTGATTATTTATTCTTGTCTGTTTAATAAAAGCAACGGGGGGCACTTGAAACTTCTGGGGTATGGAAAAATTCTCCACGGGGGCGGGGGCTAAGAGATGCCTGAAACACTTGGGGGGGGGGGGGGGGGGGTAGTAGAGACATAGCAGTCCTGGTGTCCGGGGCGAACTATTATTGCACCCACCCCACTTTAAATAAAGTTATTCATGTTAGCAAAAATGTGGCCCCTCCCCAATTTGGAATTGTCAAGGGCCTTTTGCCAATCCTTTTCATTAAAAGTTTTTATTTAGGTGCAACACAACTGATATAGAAACCAGTTTAGTAGTAAGTCTGTAAAGCCAAGTAACAGTCTGTTTTCTTAGCATTCATCGTCAACAGTTTTCCTTGTTGAGCATAGGACCTCTGGTCTCCTGCCACTCAGCTGGTCCCTATTTCCTTCCTTTCTTTCAACCTCCTACAGCTCCTTACATCGCCATGTCTTACTCACTTACTGGGCTGGTCCCTATGTCTATTGCCTATCTGATGGCTCTGTTTTGAACTATTTGTTTCAAACAGTGGCGTAGGCAAGAGGGGATTATTTATAACCCCTCCGATGGACTAACACCCCTACACCTATATATATATATATATATATATATATATATATATATATATATATAGGCCTATATGTATATATATATAATATATATATATATATATATAGGCCCTATAGGCATATATATATATATATATATAGTAGGTAGCCTATATAGTATATATTATATATAGTAATAATTAATCATTTATATCAGATTATGAAGATTGAAGAATCATCCACTTTTAACTTTTAATAAATTAATACTTAAATACTAATAGTAATAGTAGGCTAAATACTAGATTCTAGTAGCACTATGACCTAGATAGAACTAGACACATATCTAGATTTAGAATCTATTCTACTAGAATCTATCTACTTGGAATGGAATCTAGATTTCTAGATCTAGATACTTAGTAATACAAACTTACCTCGCCACTGCGTTCTGATTTAGATTTTCGAATATCTTTACTCTCCACAGCCTCATTCTTTCCCATCCTTCAGTTGTGCGAACCCACTGATCACCTGGAGATCTCCAGTCTCTGCCGATGAATGGCATCTTTGACGATTAGACTAGAGTAATTATATAGATCTAGAATCTAGTGCAAATATCAACTGTTGAATGGCACCTCTTGCTTGATATTAATTTTACTAAGTTTTCGTACGTGTGTCTTGAAATTGAAGAAGACGTGTGTTCCAGTGTTGATTAACAGATTTACTGCGCACTGTTTATAAACATATGGAAATTGTATAACTTTGCTGCACAGAATGAAACCTTTTCTTTTTATTGGATATTTTTCTGGGTTTCAAACATTTCATTGGTGGCTAGTTTTCTCGCATAAATTTAGATTTTGTCACGTGGCTCTATGTTTACGTTGCTCAGCTGCTAAGAAAGAACAAAGAAAAATTATATTTTTTAGTTTTTAGAAACAAAAGTACTTTTGAGCATTATTTTCAATATAAATCGTAGTTATTATAACATAATTAAAAATGAGTGGCTATATTGAATTTAAAATAAATGGCTGAATACACGGATTATTTCTTAAAGATAATCTGTTCCATTTAGTACCATTTTATTTTAACTACGCACATAGATATAGAATCTGGTTTTTTGGCACTGCCTTCGGACTTGCCCGACTTTATACTGAGAAGAGACTGGGTTGCTTAAATAGGTCATGAACATCTTAAAGCATATTTTCTTTATTCTACACTAAGGTGTGACTATGCACATTAATAGCTTTTTTTGTATCTTTTTTAAAAAATGCAGTGATGTTTATTTATAAATCTAAATATTAAATTACGTACGCTTGCTATTGGGGGCGCCCGCAACAGGGGTTAAGAATTTTTGGAAGTTCAACGCTTGATTTGAAAATAGATATAGTACAAACTGTAGATCTAGTCTATAGCTACATTTCTTTAGACATTACAGTAGACTATATACTAAAAAAATTTCAATACATAATTAAAATCATAAATCATCGATGCATAAGAAGTAAGACAACTGCAAGTAGTTAGATTATATCGCGATAACAAAAAAAAAGGGGGGTTGGTGGAGGGCATCAGTTCGTTTTAAGGGTTGTTGGTGGTAAAGAGCAACACTGTAAACTTCCTTTGATTTTCTTTACTTATTTTTTTATTTGCCATTTTAAATGGTTCGGTGAATTATAGATTACGTGGCTTTACAATATTTGTAAAGTCTTAACACAAATGTTTTAAACAAAAAGGTAACAATTGATTTTAAAAAGTTCGATCAGATGGTATGATAAATTGAACCGATTGCAACCAACAATGCCCGTTGCAGATTTAATTTTTTATTATTTTACTATAAAGTATCGAAAGAATGGCCAAGCATCATGTTCTTCTGCCTTTGAATCCAAGTCAGAAAACCGCTACTGAAACTGCAGCTGGAGGTCTTTGATGATCTCGCATGCAAATGACGTGGGGAACTCTGTGGTTGCTTTAGTCGTAAAGATCTTGCTCTGCTGAGAGTGAGTCAAGCTGCTGGCCTGTACTTGTTCCAAAAAAAACAGAAAGTCACATATTTCCTTTCTTAACTTAAATACTCTGCTCAGAACTTTCTGTGAAATATGATAAATCTTGCGATTCTGTGTATGTACCTTTCAACATGACTCTGAAAACTATCTATGGTTAGATATCCTCTCCGGTAACTGTGCCATACATTCTGTGTAAGGAAGCCAGCTTTTGTGTTATGTTCATGTCTTCATCCACACCTCTAATGAACACAAGCAGTTAAGAGGGGGAACAGCTGTCCAGTGACTCATTTATTGCAATTGAAAAATGGCAAAATCTGCTTGCATTATTCGGTATTTCAGTCACGATGTTTTCACCAAGGTCTGCAACACGCTGGGCAATGGTATTTTCACCCAAAGCTACATTTTCAAATTGTTTTGAATTTTCTGGGAAAAGTTCCTCAGCCACCTCTAACAAACATTTATTCCGTAGACAAAAAGATCGCCGCTGGCCGGTTGAGAGGACCTAGGGGGTCGCATCCGGCCCGCGGGCCGTAGTTTGGGGACCCTGTGTTAAACTATATGTTTTTTAAATCATTCTCACTACATTTAAAGGAAAGTTTATTTGATGTTTGTTGGATCTTTTTTTGTTTATTCAATTATCTAGACACTTGAAAATTCAAATTTCGTTGATATTGCCGCATGGGTGCCGGGTCCGTCCCCTAGTTCGGATAAGTCATCACATGTAGTGTCCCGCCGTGTCCATGATGTAGTGTGCTCTTTAAAACAAATGTATAAACCTTAGTGCTCGTTAGAGAGCACGGTCCAGGTCATACAGCCGTTGGGGTTACAACTGACGCGCCTGATTCGGTTATCGAATGTAGTGTCCCACCGTGTCCCTAATGCATGACATTGACAATCTCTGACACGAACGTAGCTACCTACCATAGTGCTCAAGTAAAATCCCGACTGAATATTTTGTTAATACTTTACATTTCAGTAAGAATGTTTCACGCCATCACACGCAAAATTTTATTTTCGTGCGAATTAACTAGTTCTATATTTTTATGAAGTTAATCCACATTATCAGCTTTTAAGTAACATACTAACAATGTTTTAAATTAAAAACATTTATTTTCCATAATATTTGTTTTTAGTAAAACGTCAAACGTAAATTGTAAATATAATTGCAATGTTTATTTTATATGAAAAATAAAAATTTTAAATTATTATAACATTATTTTTAAGACATTATGCTTTTTCTGTTAACCTATACGTTTCCTAAAAACATTTTCACATTTAAAGCAAATTTTATTTGATTTTTTATCAGAATGTTTTCGAAAAACCAATTATCTAGAGACTTGAAAATTCAAGTCAAAAAAAAAAAAAAAAAAAAAAAAAATTGAAAATTCAAGTCAAATAAAATTTAAATATTTAAAAAATCATTAGGTAAACAGCATACAAATACAATTTAGATAAAGTTGTATCTACCTACCAGCTTAAAACAAAATGAAGAAGTAATATAAAGCAAAATTGCCGAATTATACGTGTAGATAAGTGAATCTCGGAGATTGTATAAATATGTGTATCCCAGCTTCCCCTCAAAATGTCCAGACTTGTGGGATGAAACAAAAATAAAAACTCTCAGGTTTGTTTACAGCCATCAGAATCTCAACGTTTTCAGAATGTTGTTCTCAAAAATTTAAAGGTCGTATTTACATAGTGGGTATTTGACTTGACGTTTTTACCAAATTATAACATATGCAATTAAACAATGAATTCAATAAAGAGAACCAAACGTTTGATACATAGAAGACTGTAATTAAAAGATTTACGTTGGCGTAGAACTGAGAACAACATTATTATAGTTACAGATGTCACAAATATAGTTTAGGTCAGGGGTTCCCAACCTTTTTTTTTACTCCAGAGCACATTCTAAAATATCGGTAGGGTGGCGGGCGCCACCTATCTTAAATCGACAAACTCCTTCCAGAAGCGTAGCGACCCTTCCCGTCACCCGGGGACAAAACTTTCGATTTGCACCCACCCCCCTCAAACTTTCGATTTGCACCACCCCCCTCAAACTTTCGATTTCCATCCCCTTCAACCTTTCAATAATGTTTATGAAAAAAATTCTGTCTCTGTCGAATAGTGAGAGGCGGGCACAAATGAATCGTTCGGCGGGCGCCATGACGCCCGCGGGCACGGGGTTGGGAACCCCTGGTTTAGGTAATCATCTTAGATTCAATACTTACTTGAATAAACAGAAAGCAATAGGTAAATGAAATAAATATGTAGATAGTCTACTAGATCATTGGATGATAGATCAATGAAACTCCAAGCACCAAAAGGACAGGACGTAAACTACAGTTTGGAATCAAAAGTGTCGCAGGAGTAGCCTAAAGGAAACCAAAGTTGGTAAACCTATCACCTAAAGAGCTCCACCCCTGTTTTATTTAGAAGTTTTCTTAGATAGGTCGCTGATCCCAGTTTACAAGTCCCATCTGCCCGCGGGGTATGCAGAGTTTCTACCAGGCATTTTTTTTACCCCCCCCCCCCCCCCGAACGAACTGAAATTTATATAATTTATATAGAAAATATATACTTTTAACAGTGTCCGCCCCCCGAAAATTTCAAGTGCCCCCCGGAGAAAAAAGTCTGGAAGAAACACTGGGGGTGTGGGGGTGGGGGTTCAACTTATTTGTGTAAATGTAAGTGAATCTGTCGCTATATATCGTAGATCCGTGTTGTAATGGCAAGGGTACACCAAAATATCGCCTGAATATAATAGTAAGGTAAATCATCTCAATGACCTAAGCGTAATGGTGAGGCATATCATATCGACGACCAGAATGTAATAGTGAGGTAGATAATGTCGACGCCCAGAGTGTAATAGTGGGGTACATCATCTCAACGACATACATGTAATAGAGAGGTGGATAATTTCGACTACCAAAATATAATGAGGTAGATTATCTCTACGACCTGAATGTAATAATGAGGGAGATCATCTCTACAGCCACAGGTATCTAGTTCGTCAATGGGCGCTCTCATGAAATTTCGTTGATATTGCCACATGGGTGCCGGGTCCGTCCCCTAGTTCGGATAAGTCATCACATGTAGTGTCCCGCCGTGTCCATGATGTAGTGTGCTCTTTAAAACAAATGTATAAACCTTAGTGCTCGTTAGAGAGCACGGTCCAGGTCATACAACCGTTAGGGTTACAACTGACGCGCCTGAATCGGTTATCGAATGTAGTGTTCCATCGTGTCCCTAATGCATGAAAATCTCTGACACGAACGTAGCTACCTACCATAGTGCTCAAGTAAAATCCCGACTGAATATTTTGTTAATACTTTACATTTCAGTAAGAATGTTTCACACCATCACACGCAAGATTTTATTTTCGTGCGAATTAACTAGTTCTATATTTTTATGAAGTTAATCCACGCTATCAGCTTTTAAGTAACAATGTTTTAAATTAAAAACATTTATTTTCCATAATATTTTTTTTTAGTAAAATGTAAATTGTAAATATAATTGCAATGTTTATTTTATATGAAAAATAAAAAAAAGAAATTATTATAACATTATTTTTAAGACATTATGTTTTATTCTGTTAAACTATACGTTTCTTAAAACATTTTCACTACATTTAAGGCAAATTTTTATTTGAACTTTTAGCGAATGATTTCGAAAAACCAATTATCTAGAGACTTGAAAATTCAAGTCGAATAAAATATTTAAAAAATCATTAGGTAAACAGTCCACTTAAAGGTTTTTTTTTTTTAAATT